ATCTCTTAGTTATATAAGATCTTCTGAAGAAACAGAACTAAAACGTTTCATAATTTTCTTTTAACTCCAGCAACTGAGAGAACAGTCTTTCTTCTCATCGAAAATCAATGCGATTTGCATTTACATAAACATGCATCTACATAAACATATGTAAATGAAGCCTCATGAGCATTTGAATTTTGCGCTCACCATTGCGCATCGATGTTCAACGACGTCCAGCCGTCTAGGTCCATTGACGAAACCCACCGTAACATCCCGATTGCATCTGACCTGTGTCCAGCCTTCGTAATGTCTCGCTGTTGTCCCACGTCAATCACTCTTCTCTTCACTGTACTGTATTGCACTCGCGACCGCGATCATTGTAATAACGTTTAGCGATTTAGCGAAAAACACGATCAATTTAAATACTTCGAAAATGCATTAGCGCGTCGCGAATTACGTGTAAACAGTCGCGAATCGAAGATCACACCGCTTTCAACAAGGTCGCGAGGAAAAAGAAAACATCACGTTCCGTGGATGCTTATACTTTGTCAACAGACAAGGTTCTCGATTGCAAATTCTAATTTGAAAAGCAAACGATAAATATGCACACCGAGTCCAACAATAATTCCATCGAGTTTGTTCGCGACGATTCACAGTGTCATTTCAGTGCACACTCGCAGCACGTATCGCGTATAAAAAAAAAATTGACAACGAGAACCATGAAATTAAAATTCGCGAGCGAGCAAAGGAAACACGACATGAATTCCAGACCGATCTTCAAGTCCGTAAACGCGGTACGCAGATGAAGAATCACAAATTGCGTGATATTCTCACGCACCATAACTTCGCAACACTACAAAGTCCACGATATTGCGCAAAGATTACTTCGCAATATCTCTGCAAAGTATACTCTTCCGGAATATTTCCGAAACATTTATGCTAATGTAATAAAATTTGCATTTTTCTTAAGACGTAATCGCACGCGCGGACGCAAACGTAAATATAGTAAATAAGAAATTAGAAATCGCGCACGCAAACAAATTATAATCATAAGTATTTAAAGCTCCTATTTTCTAAAACGAAGAAAATTGTAACGCGAGAATAAATGAAAATATTCCCATTTTACTCGACTTGTATTTTGAGCGCGTGAGGAACTCTATAAAAAATTAGAAATGAAATCTCGACGATCACAGAATCAGTTCAAACTATGTCGCGAACAAAATAATTACTAGATATATAAACTACACGCGTTGGATTGTTTTGCTGTAGCAAAACTTATATTCGCAATGTTGAATTTAACAAGCTTCGTTTACATTCACGAAACGTAATTGCGATGTAAATACACGTACGAGAAATTTAGAAAATTTATTATCACGACGATCGCGAAATCCGCCAATGCGAACGAAATACTCGTAAATTTCGCGAATGCTGGCGCAATCTGATACGCATTTTACTGTTCAAAACAATTGAAAAATCACATTGAATAAATACGGTATTTAGTATGAATAATTATATATGAGTATACGGTGCTTATGAATAATTTTATAACTTTAAATAATTATAAAAACTAAAGCACTTATATGAGTAAATATGTTTAGATAATATAGACATTTGGATGACGTGATTCGCCAATTGTTTTAAACAACATATTTCGTATATAGCACATATATACAAGATACAACATGCAAAAATCTAAGCAAAATAAATCGCATTGATTTTGACAAGTTCTACAATTGTTCATCATCATAAATCTTCCTACTTATCACTTTTTAGATGATTTGTAAATACACATTTTCTTCACTCACCAAGATATCACCAATCCAGGGTCGACCATATTCTGCTTATAGATCTTGAACAAAAAAATATAGTGGCTCTAATTAGCTTCTACAATTAAACATCATGGATAAATGCGAATATATAAAGTATATTATATAGCTCTTGGAGATCATAAAACAACATTTATTCTAATAATTATATCGCAAATTCCAATTGCAGAAATTGAAGAAGGGGAATGCAGAAAATCTATTCACATACTTTCAAGCCGACCCCGCTCGGCCCGAACCGAATCCTGCGGTACTGCATTCATAACCACCGAAATTATAGTTGCCTTCACACCAGTTTTCTTTCATATCTGAAACAAGATATAATTTTTATTTGATAAAAATTTGTGATAGAAGTATTAATAATACAAGATTCGATTGTAGAAATTATGTTCACACAAGGGGTTATATTTATCTCTCATATACAGTAAAAATCAAATATCGATATAAATAAGTACGAAAATCAAAGAAAACAGCTTCCAAACAGCGTCACATGTTAAATAAATATCGATATTGCTCCCTCGCTAAGATCCTAAGTTATTCAACCAGAAACCGAAAAAGTCACGTATTAGTGCGGTCCAAACTAAGTGATGCAGTATCAGGTAGAAAAACCTAATTTTAGGTTTCTCTACCTGATATCTTTGGAACTTTAAAGAAGAAATAGTATCTATTCAGCATGTGGTACGATTTCGAAAAGCTTTTTTTTATTTTTTTTATTTTTAGTCGATTAATAATTCACATGTAAAAACCGATGCATTTAATTATTCCATATGTACCCGGGAAAAAATTTCCATATATAATTAGATATAATTAGATATAATTATATATAAGGTCATATATAGAATATGTCTATATATAAAAATTTTCTATATATAATTGTATGTGAGAATTCCCCCCTCCCCTCCCCAACCCGATATATACATGTTGTAATATTAATATTTCTTATTACTTTTATCAATATTTCACATATTTAATTATTTAATATGTATCCTGACAGTGTTTACTGCATTCCACATGTTGAAATAATCTATCAATTATTTCAATGTTTTATATATCAAGATGTATTAAAATCACAAAATATTAAATAGAAGAGTACAAGATAATATATTAATTAATCTTCAAGACAATTCTGCTCGTATCAGATCCTCCATATTGCGTTCACATACTTCAGAATGCAACAGCTTTTCTAATGCTTCCATATTTAATTCACAAAATCGAAAGCGGAAAATGATTTTTCTTAGTTATAACGATAGAGGAACAGTTCGGTTTCAACGAATCAGGAGAATACGGAGATATTCGTTATGAAAATAACGAAAAAATATAAAAAAATGAAACGGATCACCTTTTAAATACCAGCATGCTCCTTTCGCACACGATCCTAGCACCAAGGTCGTACAGTGAAGAATCGTTCTCCTACCCATGTTCATGATGATGTCCGTTTCGTTTCCGGAATTCGCTTCTTATTATTGGCTAACATCCGAACGCATGACATTCTAGCCCCGTTTCCATACACCTCAGCTAAAGACCCGTTAAGTTCTGTATAGCTGCACTTTCTGAACTTTATTCTTTTATTTTCTTCTTTTTTCTATCTTATTTTAACACAAGTACAAAATATCTTTTATTGTTTACTTTATTTTAAATGGAAACAATACGACCGAATGCAGTTAGAAACTACAAAACATAAAAACTCGAATTGTCAACGAATCTGGATATGTTGATTGGTTATCGGATAAAAAGTTACCAGAATTCTAGTTCTCAGAGAAAACGATAGGAATACGATTTCTAGGTTCCCGAACGTTTCTTCCGGTGATCAAACGAATTCGTTATTCAATAATCGAATTCGTTATTCAATCGACGCATCTCGGCGAACTCGTCGTACGACAAATAAATATTAACCTATATTGCGCGTTTCTACCGTCCACGATTTAAATCTAATCGACGATTAACTCGACGAAATTGACCAATCACATTGATCAATTCAACTAATTGGCCACCGCGATTGGTCAATACCGTTGAATTAATCATCGATTAAATTGAAACCATGATAATAAAAACGAGAATGAGACCATAATCATCGAAATTATAACTGCCCTCATTATTATTTCAAGCTCTTCCGAATTTGAAACAGAAAATAATTTTCTTGATTACGTATAACGATAAAGAAGTTTCGACGAGTAGACGATAAGAATTCGATACAAAAATATTAATAATCTGGACATAAGACGTCTTAAAGGCATTTCCCAGCGTTAGGAATCGCGATATTAGACGCTTCTTGTTCGAAATTACGCAACAATTCAATGCTTAAAAAAGACGAAAGCTTACCACACCTATTTTAGATCCGGATTAAAATTCAGAATGCTTCTACCACATATGATGCTCCCGACTTAACGTTCGCATTCGCGAAGTGACGTGACGAATCCCATGACCACTGTAACCAACTTACGAAAATTTCAAGTAGAGTGCGACACGGGCCAGTGTCGCGGTCCACTTATGCTAGACTGCGTGGTGGGGCGTGCGACGCGTATCTATGTACATTATTTCGAAAATGGCGTGACCTTCGAAGCGATGAGTCGACTCGAGAGCACCCAAATAGCACGTATGTTGAAAATACGTCTCAGAGACATCCTTTAGATGTTTTATTGTCTAAAAGACGTTTTTAGGAAGTCTTAGGATGTCTTGATGTTATCTGAGCAGTGATGCGATTTCGAGCTTGAGCTTGCCAGCGTCTCTCCGCTACGCATCAGAAAGCTCCGTCTATTCGTGCGATAGTGCATCGCACGTAAGGTACGTATACATTTAGCGAACGAACAGCGAACGTGTATTCGCGTCTAAACGTGCACGAACTTTCTTCAAAACCATCTCATAAGCCATCTTATGAGCAAATCGGCCCGAAATGTTCTGTTCGAACTTGTTACGCCATATGCATTTTCTAAAATGTAACAACGAAAGTTTGCGTTCGCTGTTCGTTCGCTAGATATATACACACTCTCACATGAATTGATAGAACATCTTTGTGTGTGTGGGGAGGGCGGGGGGGAGGGGGAGGGGAAACGCTAGCAAGCCTCGAAACTTAAAATCGCATCACTGCTCGAGAGTATCGTTACGTTCCATTATTTCCTGTGTTTGTATTAATATTAATATCATAATGTTCCGTCTCTTGTCAGCTTTGATAATAGATCGCGCGTTTTTCGCTTTTAGGGCGCGCGGTTCCGAGACACGTCGCAACAGATCCATAAACAATGGCAAGCCGATCCAGCAAGAGCGTTTCCTACCGTCGGCAGTATCGCTCCAAATTCGCCTTCTCCAGCGTCGGGGGAGCTCTCCACGCCAAATTCTACGCCGAGCCCTAGCCCTAGTCCGACTAATCAACAAGTCACGGTGAGTACTTCTTGCAAATTCAGATTAACTCTCAAATAACAAGGTTCATATGGATCAAATCCGACCTATAAAAAGCACTTTGTAGATTTTCAACGAATTTTTCGACTAGGAACTTTTTATTCTCACAATAAGTTAGAAAATATTTAATAACAAATGTTTTTAAACTGATTTAATAATATAATATTCCTAAATAATAAAATCATAGTGTGAGAAATATTATTTTTAACGTTTGGATCAAATATTGTTAACAATAACGTTGCACATAACATTAAGATCTATATATTTGAAAACGTTATATGTTATAAAATATCATTATAATAACGTTGTGTTAATGATATTTTGTTTACTGGGAAGTCCGAGAGGAGATGAATGGCATCTTTCTTTCTCCAGTCGGCAGCTATTTCGATATTCTTGCGTGTACAGCTTGTTGTAAAACCGTCCGCTGATTAGGGCGCATTGAGATTTTAATTGCACCTCACCTACACCGGATCTTACATTCGCGTGTAGACAAACTCGTGGACGAAACACAAAAACGTCGGCGACTTTCAGGTGAAGTCGCCGAAGCAGGCGGGCAGAATTTACTTTATCCCTCTACGAATATTTCTCTCCTAATCTCGCGTACACGTATCGCGAAATCACGAGCGGCACTTTGCACTCCCACGCGACCGCAGCACTTTGTACCTCACGAAAGGTAACGCGAAACAATTTCTTCCGACACGGCGTCGGGACGAACTGTTGAGCGGTAAGTTGCGCACTGTGAGATTTAGACCGGTGACATTCTCCTCGAAAGGCCAATAAAGTTTTATCTCGGTGGTACGTGAAACGCGACGAGACGCCGATATATACATATATATATATATATGCATGCACATATATATATTTTCGCGCTGCAAATCCCGTGCAAACGCGACTCGGCGCATAAGTGCGCTGAACCGGATCCTGAAACTCTCCCGGGTATATCAACCACCATTCGAGATTCCGTCGTCCATGTAGGTCAGGGGTTGAGGCACAGTTCGGCTCACACAGAGCACGATGCATGCGTGCATCACACACGTGAGCGTGGATACGTGCATCGGGCATGCATTCAATGTCGACCGTCGATAACGTGAGCAGCGTCATTCGGAATATTCGCGATTACAAAATCGCGTCTTCGAGGACGCGAACTTGCCCCGACCAGCCGAGTTTACGCCCGATGAACTCGGTAAGGACGTTTTGTCCAGTCACGCTCGCGTGACTAAAAAATTTATTTGCTCGTCGATTCAGCGCGAAATTCCGCGATTTTCAAGTAGAAAATCTACGCGGGTTTTTTTTTTTATAAACTCAACTCGCGCATATTTCGTCCCGGCATAATGGAACACTACCACCGAGAAAGCTCGCGGAGAGCCATTTACGATCTTGAAAAAGAAAAAAAATACGACGGAAAAAAGCCGAAGCGTAGTTGAATTTTTACCCTCGTATCGTCGCGCATCGACCACGTCACAGAGCGGTGCTTGCGTCACCGCTCGGGTCGCGTATACGTTACGAGGCGCATACAGGTTTACGCACAGCATTGTTCCCGCGAGACTATCGGTATGCGGACCATACATCCAATTGAACCGGTCGAGCAGTCGTGTGAGGGTGGTTACCCCCGGCGACGGTGCCATTGTGCTCGCGCTGTGGGGTCTGATTCTGGGTCAGCGTGACTTAATGAGAAACTATCGGGCTTATGTACGCGGCCACCGCGCGGCGTACTCGTTATGCAAAACTCGCACACAAATTGAATTTCTCCCGGCGACGCGAATTTGTCTTTTATGGAATTAACTCTCCCGCCTGTCGGTGGCGGCGGAAGGATGTTTGACGTGACGTTCGGGGATTAAGGTCACCCCATCCGCGACCGGCAGATGAAGATCTCTTCCTGGCCTCTCACGCGCGCTGTTGGTAGAACCGGGGAGACAACGAATACGTAATTGCGAAATTAGCGTCGGCGTTTGTTACGACGAGACGGGATTAGAATTTATTTCCGCGGCAATCTAATTTCCCGTTCTTTCCGTAACTCCCGCGCCCGGCGTGGCGCTCATACGTTGACACAAGGACGAGAAATGAGAGGTGAATGAAATGAAGGAACGAATGGGTGAAGAATGAAGGCATACGCGATTACGGATTCTTAAAAATCCACCTAGGTGACCGTTATCCAATGAATCGTGACCGTTATTTGCACACCGCGGGGGTGTAGCGCTGTTAACACGTTCCTCGGATGATCCTTCGACTAATTTTGGACGTTCATGCCGCGTGGCTCACATTCCCCGCGTTATCGAGACTGATAGTTTTACTTTTAGCATATGCGTTGTAATATTTATAAGATTGCTGAAATCATTAGCAAGACAAATATATGACGTTCAAGATGCGCCATAGAACAAACATGGTTGTTTGAAGAAATGCGAGAAACACCTAAAAAACTATTATCGCTTGCGCTCCATGACGTGATAATTGCGGAATACACGGTATTTCGGCATCAATACACATTGTTACACATCATATTTTATGATAAATAATATAAGTTTTATGACGAGTTTTATATTTAAATAACATAAACGGAAAATTTAACGTGAAGCGTATGCAACCCACGCGACAGCGAGCGTGTTGAACAACCTTACCGGTTGGATTTAGGGCCCGTCCGAATAGAAACGACCGCGTTGTCGAGCAATCGCTGCATCTTCTATTCGGTGCAATACCGCGAAATGAAATAGCAACCGCAAATAATGCATCCTGGCAACTTACGGCGCTCCATTAAAGTAGTTGCGATTGCGGTGATGCCTCACGAGCGGGCGCTCCCGCGCGTGTTTACATCGTCGTTGAGAGCTCGGGGACGCAAAATGCGCTTTCGGAAAAATAATGAGACGTCCGTCGGTTAGACCATAAATTAACATTCCAAGGACCGCGTCTTTTCCCCGTAGATTTTGTCGCGTCCGGTAAAACGTGACCGCGTTCACGTCGGCCCGTCTGTCGCAATGTCTCGCGCTAATCTTGTTTTCGGTTGATTCGCGAATTCGTCTTTGCGGAGAAGGTCACGGCTGATACGTCGGTCAAATCGACACGGTGACATCAACGATGTGCGTACATTACTCAGAAGCCCGCGATGATCCAATTTTTTATTCCGCCGACCTAATTAGGCAATTACGACCCTGAATCAGTATTGCGGTCAGCAGACCTCAGGCGGATATGATGCATTATGATACATCTCATCTCGAATGGGAGAGAGTCACGATTACAGATAGAAGCGGTAATAGCAAGTCAGGAAAAAATGCCTCATTCCTTAATTGGAATGACGCGCGTTATAATAAAACGAATCCGCGTGACGAGAACTCCCGGTGATATTTATTTGAAATGACACGACGCGGTTCCGCACTGATAAATCTAACAGCCGGATATTGGAACTTCTTATTACTCATATGTATATGTATATTTCTCAAAGATATGAATTCCTACTTGCGCCGCTCTCCGCTGAAGATGCGACGCGCGATCGAATTATCGGGCTCAATTGTGCGTGCGATTGCAGTTTGACATCGTTAATACATTAGCGTCGATTAAGCGCGCGCGGGCATCGATATCGGCGACCTCCCCGGGAAATTCCTCGTTTACGTAATAAGAGCCCGAGACGAAAAAAAGAGCACGTTGCCCGTCGTTTATTTTAACGGATGACTGAACAGGGCAACTCGCGTATCGGCAATCTCGTATCGATAATGTCAAAGATTTACAGCATTGTATAATGTACAATACGTAGTTATATTAATAATAGTAATTTTTGTCATGATCCAGGCCACACGAACACACGTTAGAATAATATAGAAGCAAAATCTAGAGGCTGATAACGAGTGTAACGTTCGGTTAGGCTGCGAAGGTTGTGCGATAACGCGATACTTCTCCTCTACGCTCAAACTGAACTACGACCGCGATTGTTATTACGATTGCTAATTTATGTAGCCGCGTTACTCACGAATACGCGGTGTGTTTACACGTGGGCAATGAGCGGCGTCAATTAGCGATGCTGCTTATTGCCACATCGAATAACTCGATTACCGTGTAACCTCTTCGTTAACGCGGCAACTTGGTCGCACAGAACGCGTGCGTTTATTAAAACTTCTTCATTTTGTCTCCGAACTGCGGAGTCATTAGTTCCGTGAAACATGGCCGGCCCATTCTTTCTAAGAGCGGCCGTATCTCCCGCAGTTATCCTAAGTGTTAAGCCGTGCTTAACAACTCGCCGTGCCTTTAACTACGTATTCCGCCGCGTGGAAACGCGCTCGCGCGCAAATACATTATCGCCATGACTATAAATAGTATTGCCATGTTCCGTGCGTAATTTACCAAGCGTCATAATCGCGGAGCGCATGCGGCCCGCGAGTAACGATTACACCGAGAGAGTGACTGATAGCGCGTGAGAGTCGCCCCCTCGCTGAAAGCCGGAGACCAGACCCCTAGACCAGATTACCCGCGATATGCAAAGAGAAGTCACTAACCCGCTCGCAAATAAGCCGCCTTAGGTGAGGTCCGTATCGCTTGTAAGACTCCCACTGACGGCGAAGACGACGATGATGACAGCGACGATCTCGTCGCACATATATACAAGATGTATCTGAACTCCGTCGGCGAACTTAAGGACAGATTCTACGTTGAAAAATAAGTAAAAACATCTTGGAAAACATATATCCGCGAAAGCTTGGTTTTTAAGATATAGCCTTTAGAAGATGACAACAATGGAAAAAAAATATGCCACGATAAATGGGTTAAGAATGCTAATTCATCAACACTTTTTATCTGTTTTTGAAAATACCACCTATTAATTTGGATGTTTCTGTAAATTAACTGAATGAACTGCTTCCAAAAATCCAACAGGCATGTGGTGACGTTAGAAATAATGAAGAAATATTCGAACGTGTACGTGTATCTTTGCTCCACGGATGTCAGTTGTGCATTGATAAGGGAGGCAGATATTTTGAATAATTTTTACAACAGTATGTATT